ATATTATGAAATATAATGTGAAAGTGAGTTGTTTAGTTTATCACCTTTTAACGTTTTAACGGCTTTATCAATTGTTATGAAATTTGGTAGACATGTACTATGTGGAATGGAGAAGGATATAGGATATTTATATTATCTTGCTCAGTAAACATTTCTCGGTTACGCGAATGAAGTCGCGGGTTAAAGCTAGTATAATATAATATTATAGATCTTAAATTATACCTTAATGTTGATTAAATTAATAAACAAATTTAACGGTTTCTAAAATATATTTTATGTAAAATACAAATTATTGATTTTATTATTAAAAATATACGTAAAACGTATATAAAAGTAAAAAAAAAAAAATGATTTTAATTAAGGCAGACTTTAACACGTTTGTTTATTATATTCATATATTGTCCATTATATCCAGATATGCATATAGACTCTCATTTGTTGGTATTTATGTGATGTGTGAACGCACGGAGTATTGTAAATTACGAGTGACAGTACCCATTTGTCTGATATGTGATTGTAAAAGTGATAACTGTAATATATGATTAAACAATTTTTTGATGAACTTAGAATGGCAAACAAGCTGACGACCTACCTAATGGAAAATGGTAATCGTCGCCTATAGACATGAGCAGTACCATGGACATAACAGAGTATACTGTTTCGCCCATGATACCCCCATGTGTTGCTATTTCAGAGGACTAAGGTGTTATTCCTCTGTTCCCTGTAGATTCACTGCCATATCTCACCCTTCAAACAGAAACACAGCCATGCAAATACAACTGCTTCACGGTAGCAACACGAATGGGACAGAAGTGTCCAAGCAAACGACTTTTATACAAAGTCTCTCCTGGTTGCTACTGATATATGACGTTTTTAAAGAGGATTTTTTTATTATAGCACTACATGTGACAACACCATCCTGAGCGAACACAGAGACAATATGGTCTATAAATACGATTAACAGAAAAGAGAATTATTTACTCATAATGATTGACTGCACTATGACGGAACACGTTTTTCTATCGACTTCAAAAAGAAGAATGCCACACAAAAACCGACTTCAATTGTGACAAAATCCGTTATTTTGAACTAAAAACTAAACTAATAAAATAATTTTGATAAAATTTCCGTTATTATAATTAGCACCTATTCAAATCAAATTAAATTTATTATTTTTATTTATTACAAAATAAAGTCATTTATTGTCTAACATTGTTTCTGCCAGTATTTATCTAGTGGCCTTCATGTATGAGAATTAGAGATAGTCTTATCGCTTCAAGTGAAGAGGTAATCGTCACGACATGGATCAATTGGCGATATAATATGTTGCCAAAATCATATCTGTATGTACAAATAGACGTTTTTTTATACTAGTATGGTAGTAAACAAATATACACTCCGTTTGATGGTAAACGGGGTTACCGTAGCCTATAGACGCTTGTAACAACAGTGATGTCACGTGTTGATTATCGACCTTTAAGAAACCTTAATACACCCTTTTTGAAGAACCTCATGCTTTAGTCTCTAGGGAAAGCCTCGGCAGGAAGATTATTCCACAACCTGAGTGTTCGCGGAAGGAAGCTCCTTTGAAACCGCACTGTGTGTGACCATTTTGGTGCTAAGGTGTGAGGATGGATTCTCTGCCGATGGCGAAAATGCGATAATGAAAGGTGGCTGTAGGCGTCACATTGATAAACGTTGTTCATATATAATAATAAACACAAAAGTTTAAAGTATTAGTTATTATTATTAATATCAGAATTTCTAATTTCTTATTTTGGGTAATAACAATGATTAAAAAGTGGACCGCATAATTAAGTTCGTTTTTGGAGGTTTTTTAATAATTTCTCGAAAGCGATGCCAGTTAATAACATCGTTTTATTTTTCCTGTTATATTCACAAATATGCCCTTGTGGTACCGGCATAGAATAGGTTTTTACACTTTCTTTTCCTGTGGATGTCATAAGAGGTGATTAAAGGAACTTAATGATAGATAATTGGACAGCAGCGTCCTTCTTAAAACATATATATATATTCTTTATTGCACAAAAACATACAGTAACAACAATAAGTTAATAACAATGTTAGCAAAGGCGAACTTATCTCTAAAAGAGATTTCTTCCAGTCAACCTAACGCAGTGGCATAGGAAGTAGTGAGTGGGCAGTAGTAGTGCAAGACAGAAATTTAAATAAATATTTACATAAATTATAAATAATTATATATATACACACATACATTCACATATATACATACATACACATACACATATATATACATATACACATACATATACACACATACATACACACGTTAAATACAACATATAAATATCAGATACAAGAGAACACAATGATGACAGTCTTCTAATCATTTTTATATTTAAATTAAATTGGAAAGATAAAATGATTTTAATCTTTTTTTTTTGAAGGAACTGCTAGACGGGCTATTCTGAATGTTCACGGGAAGTTTATTCCACAGCTGTACAGCACGATATGCAAATGAGTTACCCATAAAATGGGTTTTACAGTTGGGAAGCTTCAGTACCCTGGACTGGTTCAGACAAAGACGTCTAGGTCTGGAAGGAGGAGATCACCAAAGCATAACTGTAGTTACCAACCCGCTTGCCAAGCGTGATATCTATTAACTAAACCCCCCTTATGGGGGAGACCTATTTTCAGCAGTGGACAGTTAACGGCTGATATACTCGTAATAATAAATATAGTGCGTAATCTTGTCATTTTTCTTTAATAATCATCATCTTCCTGCCCTTATCCCAATCATTTGGGGTCGGCGGCATGATTTTATCCATATTACAAAAAGATTTGGTTTTTAGTTTTACGACCGGCCACCTGCTTGACCTCAACCCTTTTTGGGAATTTTTCTGCAATAGTTATATTTTATATTTTATACACTAAAAATATATTCTCATATTATGTTATTATTATAAATAATTAGTTTACTAATTGTAACCTGTACAATATATTGTTTTACATTGTTACTTAATTATAATTAACCATAAATACTTACACAGAGAAAACAATATTCAACGAACATAAACTTACAGGCGAAGTCGTAAAATGTTACGTAAAATTAAGTAAAACATTAACTTACATTGTATTCTAATTATACTCGTATTTAGCAAAAACTTGGAATTATAATTATTTGTAACAGCTCGCGATACAGCCGTGAACTGTAGTGTCACTCTACGAAGTCAAATTCAAATTTCACTAACGGATCATCGAGTGATTTATACTTGGTATTCTGCAAATTAGTAAGATCGATAATAACATCACTTCATTAACGGCGTAGTGAAATGGAATATGTGTGTTACTATCATTAGGAACTCTGCGTATCGTGTATCGTATCTCTCTATTTAGAAAGTATGCGTATGAGTCTACTAAGAACGGTATATCCAGAGTTAGAAGGCCATAGATATCTTTAACCGCAAGATATCATAAAGGTAATACAGTAAATTTTAAATTTTCGCGTTGTTTACACATATTTTTAGATTCACAATCGGGACTTAACGCGACGAAAAAGCTTTTAAAGGTAAATAGTACCTGCTTCATAATTTGCGTTAAGCCCCGATTGGGTATTTAAAAATATAGGTAACATATATGATCTATAAAATGAGAGTACAAGGCAGGGGAAAACACAAAAGATTCCAAAGGGTCGACGTGCAACTGCTGACTGCTGTCTCCAAAGCAGCTGCTGTCTGCTAAGCAGCTGACTCCATATGTGAATAAAAGATGAGATAAGATCTCGCCTTTTATTTAGATTAGGAACTCACTTTAATTTTTAAAACTTATTTTATTTCGCTACGTTGTTACTTTAACGAAACGCTTTTGACATTGATCCTACTTGTTTACAGAATAACATATTCAGATCCTTCAGTTCTAGATGAAGTGACATTTTTGAAAAAGTGCAAGTGGAGTACAATGCGAAATGAAATGTGAAATTTCACAGAATATAATAGTTTTACATATGATTATACATATTCACTCTTGAGGCCTCACGACTCTGGAATGCGCTACCCATGGACATAAGACAAATTTCTAACAAATTTATTTTTAAGAGATAAGTCTACGAATATCTTTGGAAAAAACTGTGAAAGCAGTTCATTATCTTCATCATCATCACTTTTGATCTCTATCGTCGTTTATTTGTGTTATCGTATATAATCTATAAGTATGTAGGTATATTTATATATGCATATTTATATTTGTATGTATGTATTTTTATTACATATTTGTATATTTATGTTATATTTATTTAATATATTCATGTATGTATATTTATATAACCTCTATTGTATGTGTTGTAATTTTTTTCACCGCATATTCAAATTTCTGTTTAGCCAAAGGTTGACTGGGAGAGAATGCTATATAGTATTAAGTCCGCTTCTTGTACCAGACATTTTTTTTTGTAATGTGGTCAATAAAGAATAAATATATAAATTATTGAGACCGAAAGCATTCGGGCAATCCCGAAGTTAATACGTGAGTAAAGTTGCTATAAATAAATATAATACAGTATGACTCACGATAGTTGTTATTCAACAAAGTTTAGAATACTGATTTATATTACGGTCCATCGTGGCGCAGTGGTAGGCATGTCGTTTTGTGTAAATGAGTTTCTGGGCTCAATTCCCAGTTGGGCTAGTTTAGAAAATGAACTTTTCAGAATTAGCTCGTATTTTGGTGTTTTGGGTTGTATCGTTACCTGCTTTTTCATGACACATGGTGTCATTATGTGGCAATTATTACGGTAAATTTCACCAAATGCCAATATTTTCCATATTATCATAATACCATATTAACATAATACTCCACCGTGCGTTTTTCAAGGCACTTTCTTCTACGCACAACCACTCTTTGAAATCAACTTCCAACAGCAGTATTTTTGAACCGATACGACAACATAACCTTCAAGAAAAGAGCATATTCCTTTTTAAAAGGCCGGCAGCACACCTGCGCCATGGGCGGCGGTAGTCACTTACCATCAGGTGAGCCGCATGCACGTTTGCCCCCTGTGTTGTAAAAAAAAAATTAAAATTATTCAATTATATAATGATATTGTTTTAATGCAATTTAGAATGGCAAACAAACTGACAGCGTACCTAATGGAAAGTGGTAACCGTCGCCTATATATAGATATGAACAGTACCATGATACTTCAAATATATTTAGAAAATATTTTGCCATCCATTTTCAATTCCATTGAGAATCGAGACTGTTTTTATTAACTCTTTTTGTTAATTTCGAGTGCTTCAAATAAATCACAATCTTGGTAAGAAAATTGCGCATTTACGCAAAGAATTTTCTTTTCTTTGCCAGTGTCTCTAGAGAAATTTCTATTTGAAATTATTTATTAACATTTCAGTCATTTATTATTTGTAGTTTATAGTACATATAATATTTATATTCTTTACTGCATTAAAACATATAGTAACAACAATAAATTAATAACAATGTTAGCAAAGGCGAACTTATCTCTGAAAGAGATTTCTTCCAGTCAACCTAACACAGTGGCATAGGAAGTAGTGAATGGGCAGTAGTAGTGCAAAACAGAAATTAAAATAAATATTTACATACATATAATGTCCATCATTTGTATCTATAGTACGATTTACGCTTAGTTTGGAACTTGATGACGCTGTGTCACGTGTATTGAGAAGTACGTCTCTACCTCTTAATATACAGAAATACGATAGTGGAAAGAAAATAAACAAAAGGAAGTTTAACTCTCCAAGAGTTCCCTTTTAGTAAATCCAAAGTGGAAAAGAGCATCATTATCAGAGGACAGAGCGATGTACAAAACTGTGTCATTGAATAGATAGATAAAATTAATATTTAGCGTATGTAATCTGCCGTATGGTCTCGGCATAGAATGGGCGATCCCATGCTTTCCCGTGGGTGATGTAAGAGGCAACTAATGGAACTTAATGGTCGAAGGGTAGACAGCAGGGTCTCTTTTAAAACATCACTAAAGCATAACTGTAATTGCCAGACTGCCTGCCAAGCGTGATAACTACTAGAAAAATATACATATACCTACTACATATATGTATGTATATGTAGCAAGTTTGTGTTTGTTTATGTATGCAGAGATATTTATTTATTGTGTTATGGCAATACTCTTGTACCAGAGGGAGACTTTGTACAAAAGTTGTTTGCTTGGGTACCTCTGTTCCATTCGTGTTTCAACTGTAAAGCAGTTGTGTTTGCATGGCTGTGTTTCGGTTTGAAGGGTGGGATATGGCGTGAATTTACAGGGTAAACCTATAAGCCTTCCCCTTGGGGAGTGTTGTCAGTAGTTGCCACGCTTGGCAGGCGGGTTGGCAACTACAATTAGTCTTTAGAGATGTTTTCGGAGGGACGCTGCTGCCATTTCTCGCCCTCCCTTAGTCGACTCTTACGACACCCATGGAAACGGAAGGGGTGGCCTATTCTACGCCTGGACCATGCGGCAACAATATATTTATTATGGTTTAACATATAACCATTTTATTTTTATTTTCGCATGAATAATCCATCAGTATGTTTGAATAATAAATTTTATGCAAATATGTTTAACAATTTATTGATTATGTGATAAAAATATCGAAAGATGTTTATATAGATAGATAGATACTCTTTATTGTTTCCTCCAAAAGATTACAATAGTAAACTTATTATAAATATAAATAATTACAAGAAATAATCAATATAATGTATATTGATAATGTAAAAATGTAAACTATGGGTATATACCTGAAAATAAAGAGATTTATTACTATTATTATTCATAAAATTCCCTTCAAACATATATTGTATATATGTTTGAAGGGAATTTTATGAATTTACTATGTTTGTCGTTTCCGACCATTGTTCCGACTTCACCCGGAAGTTTTCAGAGTGCGGTGCGTCGCTGCGACGTAAAGGATTTAGGATATGACATATATGGACTGTTATATTACATTGTATATGGAATTTAGTACACAAATCTGTGTATTATTTTAAAAAATCGATTTGAAATGAATTAAAAATAATAATCATCATCATTTCAGCCATTATTCGTCCACTGCTGGATATAAACAAGCCCATAGACTGATATAAAGAACGGTCCTAAGCCACCTGCATCCACTGACTTCCTGCAATGCATTTCAGTTTCACTTTATCTAATGGGGGGTCATCCTACACTGCGTTTGCCCGTACGGGGTCGCTACTCAAGAACTAAAGAAATAAAAATAATGAAAGGTAATTATTAAATGTACAATCAAACTCTTTCAACAATTACAAAATCGCGCGGAATGTGCCGTGGAATGCTATTACTGCGTAAATATTGGTAGAGATTTATTTTTAAAACTATTAATAAATAAATCTCTACCACACACACATTACATATTAATTTATTTATATCTGTAACGTTGTGGGAACTAGAAATGTTATTGAAATATGGATTCCACAATTCAATAATTAGTATGTCTTTAAAAAATTTCATAACGGACGGCACATGAACTACTTCATTCAAAACAATTTCTTTCGTTCGTATATAACCTATTAATTCCAAATCCTAATTCCAAATTAACTTTTCAACCAATTAATCGAGTTAGATTCTTAGTTAGGTTTTAAGAAACGAACTTTTTTCAATGGGCCCGGATCTATGTATTGTGGGTCGTGCGCCCAGATATTCATTATCATAGTACATACGAGTATCATAGTAGCAGTATAGGTTTTCATACTACCTTAGCTTCAGAAGCAGACTGATTGTGTGGCACTTAAAAAAATATATAAAATTAATGTTCTACAACTGGGTATAGATATCTCTCAATAACAGGAAGATTTTATTATTCCTATCCTGGCTACACTGCTTGGTATAGGGTCCTATTTCAGATTTCTTTCTTTTAATCTCTAATATATTCACTTTTGTCCTTATAATCGGCTCAATCAACATCCTGCGAAGGAAAAAGTGCATCAACAAGTGTTCTCGCTTCACCCAGAATAATTATACTGAATTGTAATATTTTTATACCGAATTTCCTATAACTGTCTATTTAAAATGTATACAAACTCAAAACAATAAGGCAATATTGCCAGTCATGTTTTTTTTTTGCACAATTGTTTTCTCGCTCAGTTGCCATCAGAACTTTTCAACATTTTTTCGGAAAACAATGCGTAAAAAACAACCCAATCCAATAACGTGGGTCGCATTGAGGAAACGACTTCCAAATATCACAATACGAATATCAAATAAGCTAAAAAAAGATTTTGACCCGCAAAAAACAGCTACATCTTTTATAACAAAATTAATATTGACTACATTGTTTGTAGTATAACTATATATGTAGGCAGCGTTACCAGATTGGGAATGTTTTTTGTAACTTTGGGTAAAAAAAAAATTTGTTAACAAAAGAAGCATACGGTCTGTCTGATGATAAATGACCACTGTAGTTTAAGGATGCCTTTAACATTAGGAGTGTCGTGTACGCGTTGTCAACCCTGAAGAAACCATATTATCTCTTTTGAAGAACTCTATAATTATAGACTCTCAGGAAGACTTCAGCAGGGAGCTCATTCCACAACTTTCCCAGGAAGAAATTTCTCTAAACCGCACTGTACTATTCTAGTGTATGAGGATGAATTCCCTGTTCCGTGGTGGGATGATGAAAGATTATTGTAGGCATCATTTCGAACATTTTCTCAGAACACATTCCATTCTATTTATTATACAATAATTATTAGATGTTAAGTTATATTTGGCAAACATATTACGTAATGTAGACAAAAAGTTACTTAAATTTGTACTTTTGGAAATTGCTCATATAATATGAACAACTTGTATTTAATTTTCATAAACTATCTACGGATGGTGACAAATTGGTATATCTTAGTAATATTGTATGAAAATGTTTTTTTTTTTTTATACAACTTAGAATGACAAACAAGCTGACGGCCCACCTGATGGAAAGTGGTAACCGTCGCCTATAGACATGAGCAGTACCATGGACATAACAATGTGTACTGTTTCGTCCATGATACCCCCTATGCGTTGCCATTCCTGAGAACTCAGATGTTATTCCTCTATACCCTGTAAATTCACGCCAATTGTAAGATCTTTGCATGTTTGTTATTAAATTGCGCTAAAGGGGAAACAAATTTGAATGAAGTTTGATACACCAACATACTAGTTCCCGCGGGTAAAGCCGAAGGAAACCGGAGAGAGATTTTACATAAAATTCATTGGCTTGAGTACCTCTGTCCTTTTTGTATTTCCGTCGTGAAGCAGTGTGTGTTTCGCTTAGTAGGAATATGGCAGTTGAAATTACAGGGTACAGAGACACAACACCTTAGTCCTAAGGAATAAGGGTTATCATGGGCGACACAGTATACTCTGTTATGTCCATGGTACTGTTCATGTCTATAGGCGATAGATAGCACTTTTCATAAGAGGGGCCGCCAGCTTGTTTAATAAAAAAATATATAAACTCAGTGGTTAATAACTTAATTACTGTCTATTAATTTGATGTATAATACTTGTATTTTATTTATAGACATAAAGATACATATAAAGTGGCATTTGCTAAAGAAAATCAACGTCATGTTCGAAAGAACATGACATACTCGTATAGCTGAGTGACACCATTTTAGTGCTTATTCTTTTCATATTTTTTTTGTTAATCGTTAAATGTTTTTTTTTTATTATTATGTGTTTTTAATGTGAAATTAAGCACTAAAATAAATATTTCTTTCTTTCTTTCTAAAGATGGCTTTTTTTAATATTAACGCTTGCAAATCTAAGGGCATCATTTACCCGTCACTGCCTTTGTGACATTAAAGTCTCGAGCATCTAGAAATTTCTAATACCCCATTAATCTTTCTATTTGAAGCTGTGTTTGTATTACTATTTTCAACAGTGAATACTCTAGTCCAGAATAGTTTACTATTTACTGTTTGAAATAGAAGTCACTCAAAAACCACTTCGTTTCATTTCGCGATCGATATGCAAATCGTTTGTCGAATATAAATCACATATTGACGTGTGCCATGA